CTACAATCTTCTCTTCTGCAGCGTCTGCAGCTGGTCCAGAATGCCGCAGCACGTCTCTTGACCGGCACTAGAAAGTTTGACTCTATCACCCCTGTTCTGAAAAATTTACACTGGCTTCCAATCAAATATCGAATTGATTTTAAAATTCTATTGTTTACTTATAAAATTTTAAACAATATGGCACCTGACTACTTAGCTGATCTCCTCTGTCTGTACAGCCCTCAGAGAGCACTAAGATCATCGGGCCAACTGCTCTTGGTGCAACCTAGGTCTCGGCTGAAGACCAGAGGAGACCGTGCCTTTGCCGTTGCTGCACCCAGGCTATGGAATACTCTCCCTCTTCATATTCGCGCGTCAGATTCCATTCAGTCTTTTAAATCACGTTTAAAAACATATTTGTTTGATGTGGCATTTAAGGCGAATTAGGGTAATTTACATCTGGCTCTGTATTTAGATTATGTAATTATCTTATATTTTATATATTTGTAATTTATATTTTAGTGTGATTTTATTTGTACTGCGATTTTACTGGAAAGCACTTTGGTGTACTTCGGTCTTAAAAATGTGCTATATAAATAAATTTTGATTGATTGATTGATTGATTGATTGAGAAAGAGCCACTCATACAGGATGTTTCCATACGGTAGAATTGAACGTTGGTTATGGTTTCTCGTCTACTAAAGAATCAAGAGGCTGTTTTAGCTGCTTTAGACAAACAAAATCAAAAGCTAGTCATTTTAAATCCATCAGAGCTGATAAAACTCCAAAAACTGGCAATTGTCCTTGATCCATGCAGGTACTCAAAACTCAAAACTTACCTTTTTAAAACTGCTTTTGGTTAATTTTTTGCCTGTTTTATTTTCTCTTTTTAAATCTTTTTATGACTTAGAATCACAAAGTGCTGCATACGTCTTGAAAGGTGCTATATAAATAAAAAATTATTTATTTATTTATTTATTTAAATAAAAATATTTTTTACAACTTATTGTTACCATTTCTTCAAAAAGTTCTACAGTTGATAAGTTTTCGTGTAGATTAATAATTACTTTCTTGAACTGTCTACTACAGGTTTGTGACTGAACTTCTTAGAGGTGAGACATATGTCTCATGTTCAGTGATTTTACCTGCTTTCTGCCACCTGCATTACACCATGGATGTCTCAGATGATGACTCAAACTACATGATGAAATTTAAGACTGCCTTCACAAAGGACGTATCCCAACGTGTAGCTACACTCAACCATCAGTGGCTCCAGATAGCTACTGTGCTTGACCCGAGGATTTAAAGTGTCTTGCAAGGGGAGAGCTAGAAGAGGTTTGCACCAGCTTTTAGGCCCTGCTGCAGGAACAGTGTAAAGATGCCACCACAAAGGAGCCAGCAAAGACAAAGAGCCTCCTCCTCTCTTCATTGTCTTCAGACTCTGATTCAGATTAGGAAGCCCTGTGTAACAGGGCCCTGACTTTGTACAAAGCAGAATCCACCATCAGTGATGTGATTTCCTGAGGCGTTTTCCTGAGGTCAGATGGCCCAGGATGTGAGTAAGCCACATCCTGGGCCGGTCAGTTCAGTTCACACCCGCCGGTGTGAACTGAACTTCAGGTAAGAAGTTATGACCTGCAGTCTATCTGTGTCAGATATAAACCAAGTTTAGGTGCAGTTTATTTTCGTTATGCTGACTTTTTCCTACTGCGTACTAGCTAGCATGACGGAGTTACTATACAGCTGGGTGGGTGCTATGATGTTAGTGATGTTGAACTTTATTTTGTTCATAAGGTTAGTTAGTAAAGTTGCCAACCGTCCCCTAAAAAACAGAATCGTCTCGTATTCAGAGAAAATATTATGCGTTTCGCATTGAGGTGAAAGGGAGCACAGTTTGTCCCAGACTTCAGCTACAATGAAAAAGACACAAAGCTGGATTTATTCTGTGTTTACGCTGCACAGCTGCTTCTTCTTCTCTCATTCTCTCCCCTGGTTCTCCTGTTTCTACTTCAGTCATGAAACTGATCAATGATCAGCTGATCGGCTTTTCTCTCTTGTTTATTTATCGCCCACTTTGCGCCAGAAAGAAGAAACCAGCGGATATCGCGCTAAACAACAGCAGCACGTTTAAGCTTGATCAGCTGTTGTTAAAATTTATTTAATATTAATTTCTAGTATCAGCTGATGTTTGCTGGAGCCACAGCTGTAAAAGCTGCTGGTCATGATATGTGGTGAGAGGAAAACGTGAAAATGAAACCAGGAGATGTCCTTACTGAATCATCAGGGCTGAGCAGGTGATGGAGAAACAGGTTTACCCTATAGGTGACATAAATGAGTTGAAGGGAAGTTATGAACTGTTTCTGAGAGACAAATAACACCAGGATCCGTTTTCTACGTAGCTGACAGCTGGTAACTGTGCAGGGGCAGGTCTAGCAAAGTGTTGCCAAGGGGGCAGGTAGGGCATTAACAGGGAGAGGGGGGCACAAAGAAATACTTTTCTTTCTTATTCTCATTTAAAATATCTGGCTTTTAAAAAATAATTATCTGAATCTTACAACAAACGATTGATAGATTGATGCATATATACCATCAAAACAGTGTTCATCACTGTCACAACAGTGTTTGTTTTCATTCAAAGTCTTTATGATTTTTCCTATATATGGTGGGCCAGTCTCTAGTCAAAACACCCGGGACGATTTTTTGTCCCAGTCCAGCCCTGTAAGCAGCTCATCTGCAGTCTGGTGTAACCTACATCTTCCCATTAGGAAGGCAGAATTTCCGAGTTCTAAATACAATTGAAAGCACCACGACTGCAGTTTTTGTGTTGGATGTAAAAAGCGCACATGACGCTGTGACGTAGGCTGGAATCATGGCAGCGGTCAATGATGGTCCAGGCGTGGGATTTCTCTCGTGGAAATATGCACATTATTTTTTCCTTTCTATTGGTAGGTGGCACAGTGCACTTGTGGCAAGAAAGTAAGCTAGAAGACTGGCAAAGTTATGGAAGCAACACATTAACAAGAGAATTCTGAGTAAAACCAAAGTTACTTTCCCTAGTAACTAGTTACTTTGAAAGTAACGAGTAACTTGAAGTAACTGAGTTACTTTTGATAGAAGTAACTAGTAATGTAACTAAGTTACTAATTTAAAGTAACTTACCCAACACTGTAGACTACGATGACCTGCATGACTGAGAACCTTCACAGACGACGACGACAACAACAACAACAACAACAACATAAAACGCTGGGTCCACAACCCAACAACATGACAAACAGGCTAGTTTGTCTAAGTAACTAAAACAGACGGACAGTAAATAAGCATGGAAATATTGTGAGTCCAGTGGGTTTGTTATTTTTGCACTAAAATGTTTGATGATCAAACTATTTTAGCCTAATGTACAAAATAATTTTGGCTAAGGTTACTCAGAGTTTAAAGGTGAAGCTCAAATAACCTTTTATTATCAAGTCCCACCTGTCCTCACACAAGGCTCACAATTTTAAAAATCAAAAATGTTATCAAATTTGCTCAAATATTTCAGATTTGAATTTTAGTATTACTTAATGGTTTAAGAGTAAATTTTGGTCAAACTCGTCTATAACGAATGTTACAGGAAACCAAGCATGTTGTCTCCTGTACTGTGTTCAGACCCAAAACTATGAGTGAGAAAAGTCAAAACAACAACTGGTTGTAAGCAAGATCGATAAGGTGAAACATGAGTCACCTATCTTGCAGAAATCCCTTTTCATTCAAATGCATGTGCATAACAAAATACTTATACCTGCATCACCTGCATGGAATGAAGTAGTTTTTACTCACTGGAAAAACAAAAGTCAGCCATGCTTATCCAGGCAAGATGTCAGGAACAATGTCTTTACAGTAATATATGGCTCTAATACCTGCCATCAATTCAATTTTTTTTATATAGCGCCAATTCACAACAACAGTCGCCTCAAGGTGCTTTATATTGCACAGTAGATCGTACAATAATAGATACAGAGAAAAACCCAACAATCATATGACCCCCTATGAGCAAGCACTTTGGCGACAGTGGGAAGGAAAAACTTCCTTTTAACAGGAAGAAACCTCTGGCAGAACCAGGCTCAGGGAGGGGCGGGGCCATCTGCTGCAACCGGTTGGGGTGAGAGAAGGAAGACAGGATAAAATACATGCTGTGGAAGAGAGACAGAGGTTAATAACAGATACGATTCAATGCAGAGAGGTCTATTAATACCTCCTTTTCCTCAGCTTATTTCCAGCTGTATTCCTACAATATATATATATATATATATAGACATTTATGACCACTTCCAGGCAGCCTACAGTGTTTCACAATAACAAAAAAATACAAACAAAAATAATGCAGTTCACATGACCTTTCCAAGCGCACGCGAACCCACTATTTGAACCCTGGAACACCATCGGCTTGCATAACCACTCGCATAAACGGCGAGGTGTCTACGCAACCGGCCTTATTAAAGGTAAGCAAAAAAAATATGTTGGCCACCCTCTGTGCCGTTCAAAATATACCTCTCACCCCTTTTTCTGTTTAACTGCCCGGTTAACTAAAAGACGTGCAGCCACGGTAACCCAGCGCAACAATAGTAGACTAATGGTGGTGGTGCATGTATGCGCTCAGATCAGCTGTTTGCGGCCCGGGACATTGTAACTCCATCAATCAATGTAACCAGACCCGCATATAAATTATATTTTAATATTGCACCAATCAGTTCACACACAAAAACACACACATCCCTCTATTGAATAAAAAAACTTTTACATTTATGCCTTACTTTACCAATATTACCCATCAAATTATTTATCTGTTTTCTCATTTATGAAAGAGCAAATAAAGTAGTAAAGAGTAAATGTTTGGGTTAAAACTTAAATTTACCTGTTTTCTTATATAAGGAATATTTATTGACTTTATTGCAGTCTTCAGTTATACAGTCAAGAAATGTTGCACTTCACTGATAATTAAACATTTATTTATTTGTAAATCATGATTCCATCTTACAAACAGTGAATTATTATTGTAATTAAAAAGACTTAAATGTAAACAGAATTAAGCCAAGAGAAACTGTATGAGTGATTTAGGTAATACCTATTGGGTGACAATACATTTATTTTTTTTAAAAAGTTAATGTTGCATGAAAAGTGTCCAGTGTTTTTAAAAGACTAAAATATGATCACTGGTCAATATTGACATGTTATCTTCTGTTGTATTGTTATCAGTTTTGCTGTCTTTTTATATTAAATTAATATGAATTTGATTAAAAACATTCAATATGTCATCAAAAAGAAAATCAAGATAATAACTTTAGGTGGAAAAATATACAAATTTCACTCGTAGGAATATTTAAAAAAAAAAAAAGTCCCCTAGAGTTCATTTAATACATATTATCCTTCATTTCACTTCATCACTGAGGTATTTCATACCAAGACCACACCACTCACTACAAGTTTTAAAAAAACAAATAAAAACAATCCTGATAATTAACTTATATTTTTTAACATGATTCAAGTAATCACCTGGAAAACAAGAAAGCTCTTTTATTGCTGATATGTATAGCTTTTATCAGTATGTTCAGTACATATACAGGTAAAACATATATTGCCTTGCTGCTGTTGGTCCAGTAGAAGGTAAACTGTAGTTCTGCTTCATAGGACCTTATGGATGTGGATTACGCTGTTACAGGCGGGGCAGGAATGCTCCACATCCTTGCATTCTTTGACGAAGAAGGGGATCACATAGCAAGGCCAGCAGCTGGTTTGAACCAACAAAATGGCATCAAAATAATGATCACATCACATATTACACAGGTTTAACATAAAGCTTAAGTTCCTCGTGTGAATGATCAGTTATGCTGAATGTTTGTTAAAGATTAGGCAGAGTCGATAAACAAGTCTACATCTTGAACTCACAGAACTCACACATCTGTTAGTTGCTTACCAGAACTAATGGGCATGCAGTGAGAAGAAGACTGACTTCAATAACAATCCTCACGTTGTCTTGCATTGTCACCATATTGCCAACGATTTGTTGTTTTGTTTGTAACTATGATGTATGTAGTGATAATATTAAGTAATTTTCGTCGGTGTTTTCAGCAACAGTAACACGTATATTATGGTAATCCCTTTGCTTTTTGCTTTTCAAATATATATTACACCATTTATATTTATATAACAAGAACAACAGGAATTGACAAACTGCTCTTGAGTTATCTAATATACAATGGAATATTTTCTTTGTACACATATTCCATTCTGGGTCCTAAATTTAATTAGTTTACTAAAAAAGGAAACTTCAGCGTAGACCAAATTCTGTTTTGATTTGTTTAATTTTAAAAGCTTTCTGTAGACCTGAACGGATTTGAGGTGCATCACACTCTGTAAAACATCTGAATGTAAACTGTTTGCTTTTCATTGTCTCGGTTTTTACTAGAATATTTATAATATATTTATGTGTTGTTGAGTAACCACTCCTGTATGACGTTTTGGAGCGTGTATGAGGGTTTTTTGGTCATGTGTGCTGGGGTTTTTAACTCACCCTACAAGTAGTAATACGCCAAAAATTATCCAGGTGAGGATCCCAATTTTGTACTCGGTTTTAGTCACAACATCGGTTTGGCAATGAGGACACTTCATCTGTCCAGGAACATCTTTTGGGAGATGACTTTGCATCACCACCACCTGACTCACTGCAAAAACAACAAAGCACACTCTTCTGATTACTTTAATAACAATAATACTTCCTCACTAAAACACCATGAAGACTGGATTTGGAACTATCTCAGTTTTTGCTTAATTTTGCAAATTCATATTGAACTGAAGAAAGACGCTCACCTGGCTGCACAACCTGAGGTTGTAGTGCATTGTATTGGTATGCAGGCTGTTGAACTGGACATAAAGAAAAGATATTTAACTTTAAACAATCTTAACAAAAGCTGAAGAAAACCTTCAACCACACCGACTAAAGTGGCAAATCATAAAAGAGCAATACAGGCGAACTATTTAAATAAAATGACTGGTAGCTTCTGATCTCTCACCAATCTGAACAGCTGGCTGAACAACAGGCTGGACAACTGGCTGAACCGCAGGCTGGACAACAGGCTGAACAACAGGCTGAACAGCGTTGTAGTCCAAAGGGGGACCGGGGTACGGTGGTGCTGGGAAACCTGTTTTGGGTACCTCCATAGTGTCTGTTTATAGGAGGAGGGGGAAAATTAAATAGAAAGTACAGTTAAGCTTTGTAATCTGAAAATGAAATAGAGTGAAGAGTGAAAACTTGGCAACAAGGCTGAAATATTGTAAAGCAGTGAATTATATCACAGCAAAAAGCTCCTGGGTTCATATTCAGCTTTGGGCCTTTCTGTGTGGAATGTGTATCTTCCCCCCGTGTCTTTGTGGGTTCTCTCCAGAGAACTCTCTCCAGACAAAGGACATCATGATTCTAAACAGGCCATAGGTATGAATATGAGCATAAATGGTTTTCTGTCTCTATGCACCGATCCTGCTTTAGATTGGCAGCCTGTCCAGGAAGTGCCCGCCCTCTTGCCCAATGACCGCTGAGATAGACTCACTGACCTGAATTCTTCTGGTTGTAATCAAAAGTAAAGGGTGAAACACAATGCACCTGTCTTACAACAATCCTTTTCATTCAGATGTGTATGCATAACTAATACACCACCTGCATGGAATGCAGTAGTTTTTTATCACTGAAAAAACAAAAGTCAATCATGCTTTGGCAGGCAAGATGACGAAAACCGTCATCATGGTAGCATGAAATGGTGATAATGTGTAATTCATCTCCTACTCTCTGTTTTTTACATTGCATGTAAATTATTGACATATTACGTTTCCTTTTTCTTTGTCAAACTATTGTTTCCAAAGATACAAATTACCTTTTATGCTAATTACATTTAAAATTCAAAAACTTTTTCAACATCCCCAAAGAATTATTTCTTATGAGTATATATTTATATTAAATATATTTATGAAATCACCAAACATAATTGTTTGACTTGTATTTATTCTTACCATGTGTTTTCCTAAATATAATCCTAAATCTTTTAGGTCACAGAGATCAGGGTGTTATTTGCATATGTTTTCATAACTGCACCTATTGTGCCATTTCGGCATCTGCAATCCAGAAAATGCACTTGCTAAAATGGGTCACCTACAAAGAACTAAATGTAAAAGTGTACACCACCGAAACAGATCTTATTTAACCTGTCAGTGAGTTGATAAGAAGATAAAAGTTAAAACTTTCCTATGCGAGGAGCCAGTGCCTCTTTAAAAGTGGTATAAACACACATTCCATCACCAGATGTTAAATGGTTTTATAAATCACAGCAAAGTATAAAACGGCACTTGTGTAATTGTGTTTACTTTTTACATTTTATTCATTTTCATTCTTCCATTTTCTCTATTTTTTTTTTTTCAAAAACAAAGAAAGCCACCATTCATTGGATCAGTTGTTTTCATATATAACAAACAAAATGATCTTTTACTTGTTATATTTATATTAAACTTATTTAATTTTGTTCTGTTTGTTATTTATATTATACCAACAAGAAACCTTTTGTTTCATATTGTATTAGCACCGTTTTTTATTGTTTGTTTCTTTTTTTTCTTTCTGTATTTTCATAATTTCAGAAGAGATCAGACGGTCCTTACCTTGATGAATTAGTGAGACGTTTATGTGAGCCAACGGGATCCTGCTGCTTTCTCTGATGAGAGTTACTGGGATGAACAAATAAATGTTACAAAAAGAAGGTGGAGCAACAATGTGAGTAGACAGGTATTTCTGTTTACATATTCAAGAATGCACACACACACACACACATAAAGCATGAAACATTCGCACATTGTTTCCAGCTTTTTGAAGATATGAAGTTTGGTTTTCCAGCATTTTTTATACAGGGAGCATATTCATTTACAGGTGAACAGGGAGAATTCATCTTAAATAATAAATAATAACAGCTTCTGTTTAAATATTAATGGTGGTTAACAACAAGTATTCTTAGCATTACAGGAGATTTGGACATCTTCTAGGTTTCCAGGAAGATATTAAAAAAAAGAATGAAAATGACCAAAAAAAAAAAAAGGAAAATAGTGGGACTGCTGTTATCTCTTAAATGTGTTATAATCTCTTTCCAAAGTCATGGATGTTCAAAGTTTGGAACCAGAAGGAATAATTATAGATTTAGAAATGTTCTACAAAGAGGTCACTGAGATGTTGTTCGGACAGGATAAGTGTGGTCAAATGAAACGGGGAAGGTGATCAGAACTGCAGGGGTGGAACTGTCAGAAGGCAGAATAGCAGACACGCAGGGCAACCTGTGTGCCTGTGTATCCCCCAGATCAGAAGGCAGAACAGGCGTTGAAGAATACACTGAACATCAGGAATAAGATCCAAGCAATCAGTACATACTCCCTATCAGTAAGAAATGGAAAGAGGAAGTGCAAGAATTAGTAAGTGTCGAGGGCACAATCCAGAATGAAACACATGGAGATGGGCTGCTCCTCAGGCAGCTGAGGACAGACGCTGAAGAGGAACAGGAGGAGGAACTGTCATGAATCAATGTCCCATCCCTTTATGGGCTGTACCATTGACAGATAGAGGAAATGGCTGGTATCAAGATATCCTACCAGTGGCTAAAAAAGGCCTGCTTAAAGAACAGCACAAAAGCTCTGATCATGGCAGCACAAAAATAGAGCCTAAGCACCAGATCCATAGAGGTATGAGTGTACTACAGCTAACAGGACCAAAGTTGTCTGGTACCAAGCACAGAGGATTAAGAGGGTTAAGAGGAAGATTCATTATCATTATTATTAGTATCATTATTAGTATTATTAGTAGTAGTAGTAGTGGTAGTAAAAATTTATAAATTCTTTGGACAGACGTAACCAAGGTACTTGTACCAGAAGGATGGAATATAAAGTATCCTGTAAAAGCAGCCCAAGAGGTTCTGTAGGCAAAGAACTTTGATATTCTTCAATGATCAGTCGCCTGATTTGAGTTATTAAATACAAAACTGAATGCTAAAGATACACAAATATGACACAACTGAAAGTGGCTGCAGTGAAGGCCTAACAATAGAGAAAACATAGCACTTGGTGATATTTATGGATTCTAGTCTTCAGGAAGTCATTGACTTCAAAGGATTTTCATCCATCCATCCGCTTCTCCTTTTCAGGGTCACGGGGGGCGCAGGAGCCTATCCCAGCTGTCATAGGGCGAGAGGCAGGGTACACCCTGGACAGGTTGCCAGTCTGTCACAGGGCCAACACACAGAGACAGACAACCATTTGCACTCACATTCACTCCCGCATTCACACCTATGGGCAATTTACACAAACACAAACATTTTTGTAATGCTCTCTGAACTAAAGTTGACAGATTGCACTTCTTTTATATATTGATTGGTTGTATTTTTAATTGTAGTGTACAGAGGCAAAACTACAAAAAAGTGTGTCTTTGTCCAACAAATTACATATAACAAGCATCCTCATGATTGTTATGTTGACAAATTTGACCAAATTCTCAAAGTTTTGGTGTGGTAGTTATCAAACAGCCATCACTGTAAAAGACGTCCTTAGAGATCAAATACTTTATAATGATGAATGAAGTTGTTAGTTTAACTAACACAGCAGGATGAGAAATGAAAAGTGACATAAAATCCAGAATGGCTACCACATGCAAAAGTGAAATAGGTGTGTGAAAGAGACTGAAGTTGTCAGGAAAATTAAGTGAAATGAAATAGAAATGAAAGTAATCATTATTAAATCCACATTGCTGATCTTTATTAGAAATTATTTTCGTCATTTACTTTTATGTTTGCTTAGGCTGCTGCCCCCGCGACCCGGCCCCGGACAAAGCGGATGAGGATGGATGGATGGATTACTTTTATGTTATATTCTAATTGAAGCAAGTTTTGCATCGTAGCTCCCATAAAAATGTTGCGAACAGCCTGCAGCTGAGAGAAATAACTGAAAGCTACTCCATGCAATATTACTTACTGTCCACTTGGTAGAAGCAGTGGACAAAGAGATATGCTGCTGGAACATGGCCAGTACCCCAGGTGTGAAACAATTAAGTACATTCAGTGTCGTCAGTTTGTATTGACAATCTTCACTTGTTGTGCACGACTCCTACGCCACTGCATCTAAGAGAAATTACTTTATAGATCAATAACTTACATTAGAACATGATTGCCTAAAGCTGGGCACTATATGAGCTCGTTGTAAACACTAATTAAGGGCACTGCTACAAGACAGGACCACAAAGATTGGGCAATAATCCAAATATTATCTTACGATGCATCTACCCTCCTCTTGACTAACTACACTAAAATCCTGTTTACACATTACTCACCACTTAACCACTTATTCAACTCAGAATCTTGGGGGAGGATGGAGACATAGGGTGAAAGCCAGGGTACACTAGGACTTGTGTCTAGTCTTTTGGGTAAAGTGAGCATGGTTACAGTTTCACCTGCACCCGTATTTCTATAAAAGTTTCTCTGAGTGAGCGGTGAAATTCTTTCTCTCTTGTCCTCATGACAAAATTTAATGTGAGTTTGCAGAGCCATCTATTTGAGCTATTTTCTGCAGTCATGATGTGTCAGTTACATCAGAGGTTGGAACAATGGATTAGGCATTAGGACTGTCACAAAGAGGCTTTCCTTCTATTGTACAAAGACACACAGGACAGGTCACAAATGTAGGTTTCTAAAAACTGTGGCTGACACACATTAAGGTTGCTTTGTGTTATTTAAAAATGACACTGTGAGAAAAAATCCTTTTTTTCTCTCAGTATAGAGAGTACAGATATAGAGGTCATAGCTGAGATATTGCAGAATAAAGCTACCTTCAGCTGCTCCCTTATTCGGGGGGTCAACACAGTGGGTAGCTCCACAAGTTTGATTTGGCAGAACCCAAAGGGATTTGTGTCTCAAGAAGAAATGTAAGTAATAAAAGATGTTACAACCAATGTTGTATCAATAAACCTTGAATATTATGGACACAAAATGATATTTTAGTCATCACCTTTTAACCAGTAAGGTTTTGTTTGTATTTTGTTGAAGGGTTAACAGTGTGTTTGTGAAATAAAAACAGTCTTCTTTCAGCATATAAAGATGATAGCTTTGAGGAGACAGCACCATTGCTTCTGTCTTTGGTATAAAAGAGAATAGAAATAAAATAATATCTGCTGTACTCCAGGGCATCTTTTTCTATTTTGTGTGTGCTCCTCTTGGTTCGTTCTAATTATGAAAAATGAAGACCTAATACCAACACAGGCCAAAAAGCTAATTACCTTTGGAGTGAGATCCAGTTAGGAAAATAGAATTTACAAAAATATATTCTTCTTTGTTGAGAATGGAGGTGACACAAAATGTCAGGAAAGAGATGGAATCGACAATTCATTATATGAATATATGAACGTGAGCTGAAGTTGCTTATTAACTTGACATTACTTTCAATTTGGTTGCTCTGCCACACAGTTTGGAGATCCACATCTCCATGTTGCAGCTGCATACTGTCACGTAGTAGAGGATTTGTCAAAAATATGTGGATCAGCTGGTAATGTAGGCTATGCCTTACCTTTAAAAAACAGATTCGTTATAGAACTTCTTTTTAATTAAGTATGAGAGTGTTAAAAATTATCAAAGCATTTCACTGAAGGCACTGTTTCATTTCACCCCACCCACTCCATAAACCCGGTGTTGGCTGTATCCCAATAATCTGCCTCTTTTCCTTGTCTAGACAATAACGTTCACATTGAGCCAAGCCATGAACACAAATGTGGATGGTCTGGTTTGAACTTGAACTTCAAACCTTTAGCGCGCACACACACACACACACACACACACACACACACACACACACACAGAGCAAATCTGCATTTATTTGTCCCACAAGTGCAAAATCTGCATTGTCATTGCAAAACAGTGGACAGTGCAAGACAAAAGCGGCTAAATAAAAACTGTACAAAGAGCACGGTATAGAAAGTGCACTATACAAACAATCTGGAAACATAAATATGGACACGTGTATTCAAAAATATTGGTGTGTGTATACACACACACACACACGCATGCACGCACGCACACACAGATATATACACACACACACACACACACACACACACACACACACACACACACATCTATATATATGTAGATATAGATGTGTGTGTGTGTGTGTGTGTATAACTAGACTTTATGCATATTATGTAAGGTGTGGCTATATAAATGTATGTACAACTCTGTGTATAGATGTTTATGGACAGGTATGCAATGTAGTGACAAGGATTGACAAGAACTAATATTGCATATGAGAAATATTGCACATAGAAACTAACATGGTGTATTGTACGCTGCAGGTAAAGTAGCCTTGCAGGGAAGGAAAGACCTGAATCTCTCATGGTTGGGGGTTGGGGGAGGGTGTGTTTGCACAACAAAAGCAGGAGAACAATGGAGCTGAAGACCTGTGAAAATCTCAGCGGGGTGCCAAGAGGTGTTAGGGTCGGGGGAATTTACGCAAATTTGCGCAGGACTAGTAAATCTAGTAGTAGGGACTTGTACCAGGGAAAAAAAGGCTCAGTAATTCTAGTGTTAAACTGAAGATTAATGAAGTAATTGAGTTAAGTCTTCTTGACTTACTAGGTCTAGTAAATGTTTTTCCTTCAGGGATGGCATCCACTATACAG